TCACCTCCTGGAGCAAAAGGAAAAACAGACTCATGGAAATGGACATCACGTGATGTAAAAACCTGATGAGTGTCCAAATCATAAAGCTTATATCCTTTTATGCCTGGTGAAAAACCAAGATGTATGCACTTCCTTGCTCTAGGAGAGAACTTAGTTCGTGAACTAAGTAAGGTAGAAGCAAAAACTAGACAACCAAAAACTCTGAGAAAGGACAGATCAGGTGGTTTCCTATGTAGGAGTTCAAAAGGTGATTTGTTCTGCAGAATTTGGGAAGGAATACGATTGATCAAGAACACAGCATGAGTGACACAATCTGACCAAAACTCAATGGGAAGAGAAGCTTGAAATTTTAAAGCACGAGCAACTGACAATATATGTTGATGTTTACGCTCAACCTTTGAGTTTTGTTCTGGTGTTTCAACACATGAAACCTCATGTTTAATGCCTTTACTACTGAAAAATGCAGGCATATTGAATTCTTGTCCTTGGTCACTACGAACTCTTTTGATTTTGGTGGAAAATTGTGTTTCAACAAGGTTGAAAAATGAAATCAAATGAGGTCTGGTGTCTGATTTTTGTTTCATTAAAAGCAACCAAGTCATGCGACTGAAATCATCCACAATGGTAAGGAAATACCTAAAACCATCATGAGAAGGATTGGAATTCGGACCCCAAATATCCATGTGTATGAGTTCAAATGGTTTGGTTGTGATGGAATTGCTGGATGGAAAAGACAATCGTTTTTGCCGAGCAAAATGGCATACATCACAACTAGAAACTTGATTCATATCTATACTAGAGTTCAGTTTCCTTAAATGAGGAAGTCTGGAAAAAGAAACATGGCCTAACCTATAGTGCCAGAGATCAAAAGGAGAAGTTGTGCTTGAGGCAGCAACTTTAGGAGGACTACTGACATATCTAGGAAGCAGCCTATAGAGACCATGGTGGAGCTCAGCAGAACCAATCACTTGCATCCTCATAGTATCCTGTATAAAACAAAAACCAGAAGAGAATGTGAGTTGAAGGTTGTTTTGCTGTGTTAACTTACTCACTGAAATGAGATTGAAATTGAACACTGGCACCAGCAAAACATCCTTAAGAATTAACTCTGCAGACAAATGAACACTGCCCATATGAGTAGCCTGCACTGCTTGACCAGTAGGCAAATTGATCTTAACACCATCAATCATCTTGTAGTCATGAAAGGAACTCAAATCACAGATGATATGATCTGTAGCCCCTGTGTCTAATATCCACAGCTTATCAGACTGCTGGTTCTGGTTGGGTGAAAAAGAGAAAGAAAACTTGCCTGCATCTGTTGTATCCTTACTAAGAAACACTGCTGCAGAGTGCTTTTGGTTTGAACTGCTGGCCCCATCTGAAGATGATGTTGTGTTGTTCTTCAGAAGATTGAGTAAGCCTTCATACTGATCCTTGTTCAAGCTAATGTTATCACTAGCTTCTGAATTCATTACAGCATTAGCATTCCTTGAGCTGTTTGAATTAAAACCTCTACCACCTCTAGGTGTCATACCAGGTGGCCATCCATGCTTATGATAGCATGTTTCTTCGGTGTGACCTTGCATTTTGCAATAGGTACAAAATGGTCGTGGCCCTCCAAACCTACCACGGCCTCTACCTCTGCCTCTGGTAGAGTTAAAAGAGGGATTCCAGTCTGTTCTGCCCTGCTGATCAGGTGCTCTTACCCCCATAGATTGCAATGCTAAAGCTATTGATTCCACCATACTGCTCTTATCAATATGACTCCCAAAACACTGCCTTTCATGTTGAGCCATGCGAGAAAACACTTGGTCCATAGTGAGTAAAGGATCACTAAACAGAACTTGAGATCTTGGAATAGCATAGTTTTCATTCAATCCACGAAGAAAATGCACAATTAGATTTGTGTCTTGTGTCTGCTTAACAGTATTAATGGCTGCACAATCTCTATGACTTGTAGTTGTGCACTGACATACAGGGATAGGCTGATAATTCTTGAGCTCTTCCCAGGTAGTAATCAATTCAGTATGATACTCAGACAAGGTTCTAGTCCCTTGCTTCAAAGTGCATAATTTCTCATTGAGTTCAACTATTCTAATCAAGTCACCTTGACCATACCTTAGTTTAAGAGTTTTCCATACCTCAGCAGCTGTTTTGAGGCTCCTTACACTTTTGCCAATCAACTCATCAACTGTCTGCAAGATCCAGCTTTTCACCATCATGTTGCATCTCGTCCAGGGCCATTCTAGGTCGTCTCCAGGCTGTGCTTCTGGGATCGTACCATTTATGAACCCTAATTTGTTCTTAGATGCAAGGGCGTCAAACATTGCTGCACTCCAGTCATTGTAGTTGTTGGTCGTAAGTTTGATGGAAATCAGAATCTGTCCTGGCTGTTCAGACCCATGGAGATAATAGGGATCTGAAAGCGGGTATTCTGCCTTAGCTCCAGAGCTGCCGCTCTCAGTGGTTGTTTCTCCTGCCATGATCGTTCAAGACAGTCGAGACGAAGAGAAGGAAAGCAATTTCGAACAAAAGAAGAGAAGAAGAAGAAGAAGAAGAAGAAGAAGAAGGAAGGAAGAAGGGGAACTTGGTTAGGGTCTGGAAACCCTAACCAGGCTCTGATACCATAACAACGCAATTTCACAGAGAATGATTGAAGAAGGAAAAGTGATTTCCCTTCTCTCCTTCCTTTCATATATATCTCAGTTCCTCATTACAGGATAGGAATGCCAGCTTGGGCTACAATGCCAGCTTAGGCAGTAAAACAGAGTAAACAGTGAAAATTGAACAAACAGTAAATAAAGTTGTTATCGACCGTTGAGGAAGCACGTGGTCTGCACGTGAGTCTATCCACCTTTTGCTGACTCTGATGACTCGGATTGAAAATGCAGATTTTGATCCTATATAGCTGTTATCCATGAGAAGCTGCTTACAAATGTGGAAAGGCAACGTCGACATCTGTCTCAGGCGGACAATTGTCCAATATGTGGAGCAGGGCCGGAGACAACGCTACATGTTATACGGGACTGCCCGTATGCTCGGGACGCGTGGTCACAAGTGCTGGCAGACGAGCCTGATAGATCCTTCTTTGAAAATGATTTACGGAAATGGGCAATGTACTATCTTGCGGGTCGCAGTGCTATCATTCAGCCGACTTTATTTGCAGTTTTCTGTTGGAAATTGTGGAAAAACCGGAACTCCAAAGTCTTCAAGAAGGTGCTGCTGCAAACCACGAAGATTGCACTTCAAGTGCGAATTTATTGCCAGCAAATTGATGCGGCTTTGTCCCGCCAACCGGTGCTGCAAGTGGAGAACACATCAAGCCGAGTTGTCCGACTTCTTAGCTGGCGGAATCCATCACCGGGATGGACTTGTCTAAACACGGATGGTTCGGTAGCTGGTGGAATGGGAAGCACGGCAGCAGGGGGAGTCTTCCTCGGTGAGGATGGTCGGTTTATTAAGGCCTTTGCAGTTAACTTGGGGTGAGGATCTATTACTCATGCGGAGCTAGCCGGGATCGTCCATGGCCTTCAGTTGGCATGGAATGCAGGATATAGGAAGATCGAGCTGCAGACGGATTCGTCCACGGCGATTCAACTCATACAGACAGCGGCTGATCATAATCCGCATCGAGGACTGGTTGCGGCAGCAAGGTGGCTGCGTGGGTTGGATTGGGAAGTTCGTCTAAACCATGTCTACAGAGAGGAGAATTTCGTAGCAGATTACTTGGTTTCGTTGGGCCATTCTTTATCTTTAGGGGTTCATGTTATTGATAACCCTAGTCCCATTTTGAGTTATTGGTTGTATTTCGACAGACTAGGGGTACAAACCCCGTGATTGGTTAATTGCTAAGGGCTGGAGCGCCCCTTTGCGCTCCGCTTCTCACAAAAAAAAACTATATTATTAACCTTTGCATGCAACAAAAACGAACTCACGATGCATATATCTGACTCTGAAAATGAACGAAGGCACATAAACACCATCATATATATGGCCTCGATCTTTAATTTCATAAGCATCAACGAAATCTACAACGATAGTTAGAGAACAACAAAAACTATCGGTATAAGATGGTGAATTCAGAGCCCAACTATAAGATTGTAATAGGTTAATTAAAGAGTTTAATTGATAGTCACCGAACTACAAGAAGGAAACACTTTTATCTAACAAAATGGTATACATAACAAGCTTGTACACGACATTCATCAATGGTCGAATTCAGCGTTATCAAGACAATTATGGAAGTAAAAAACTCATGAGTTGATTTGTCGCGATCTAAGATGTTGGAAGGAGTTTTGTTGATTGAGAAAGAAGTTAAGTACAAGCCAAACGGAATTGATCACTGAGTGAACAAACACAATCACACTACTCATAGCTTCTTCATAGGAACATGTGAGCTTGTAATCTAGTTGTGAGAGGTTGCACCTAGTCACTTACACAACTGAAGTGTGAAAAATAGCTTAATTAATGTATGTATGAATAAAACATACATTAAGAAATCATTATAAAATTTGGTAAGATTTTAATTCCTTTCAGCCGTTCAAATTCTCCGAATATAGATTCTTAGCCTCTTTTTTTTAGATTTCTAGTTCCGTCACCGACCAAAACGTTAAAACACGGTTACATTACACGTGTGTTCTTGTTGGTCAAAAAGCCACAAGAGTGAAGAGACTGTTTTTATAGCTGCTTATCTGACCCAAGAAGTCCTTGCCTCCATTTTTCAACTTAAGAACTCATTATTTTTTTTTTATCTTTACTCTTTTATGAAACTCCGCTTCAATGGAAAAGGAAAACTTCTACCAAAAAAAAAAAGAAAAAGGAAAATGAAGTTTTTACCAAAAAAAAAAAATGGAAAATGAAGCAAAACAATAATGGTCCCACTTGGCCCCATGAAGTTTCATTCAATGCCCATCACAGTCCACAAACAACATATATTATCCAAATCTACCCTTCTTCCCTCCCTGACCCAGCAGAGTCACGAAAAGCAGTCAAGAAACCAACGAGGAGAGAGTAAGTACATTCTCATTTCTTTTCAGTTTTATTTTAACTTTTTAAATTGGAACACTCAATTCAATTTCTTGACATAAACAAGTAACATCAATCCAGCTGGTTTGCCGTCTATAAAAATACATGACCAATATCTCCACTCCATTCCTCCCCCGCAGATCCCACTTCAAAACTCACTCTTCGAATCTTCCTTCCTTCCTTCCTTCCCTCTGTTTTCCTTCCTCCCTTCCAAACCGAGCAGGGTGAAAAAATGTTGCAGAAAGTCATGGAAAGTTGCTGTGTGCAGCCCAGAGATATCGCCATAACCGAGAATGGCAGCACCAGTAGCAGCAACAACAACAGCAGCAGCAGCAGCAACAAGATCATGGGGACGGTTGTGTTGATGAAGAAGAACGTGCTGGACTTGCACGACGTCAAAGCTTCGTTCCTCGATCGAATTCACGAGCTTCTCGGCAAAGGAGTCTCCATCCACCTCATTAGCTCTGTTCATCCAGACCCAGGTCAGCACTTTCTCTCCTCCTGCATTGAATAAAATGCCCCATTGTTCAATGGTGGAAGTTTCTTGAATGCAAACAAAAAGGGCAATGAATTGGTTTCTTCTTCTACTCCCTTCTTTCCCGTCCCAATCAAACAGTCTTTCGTCGAGTCATTCCAAGTCAGCGTATCAAGTAAAAAAAAAAAAAAAACTAACAGTGGTCTGGTGGAAATTTCCTGCAGAGAATGGATGGAGGGGGAGGATTGGGAAAGCAGCCTTCTTGGAGAAATGGGTTCAAAAGATGACACCTTTAACAGCTGCAGAGACTAGTTTTTCCATTACCTTCGATTGGGATCACTCCGCCATGGGCGTCCCTGGAGCTTTCATCATCAGAAACCATCACCACAGTCAATTCTACCTCAAGACCTTAACTTTGGACGATGTCCCCGGCCATGGCCGCGTCCATTTCATCTGCAATTCGTGGGTCTACCCTGCTCACAGATACAAATACGACCGCATTTTCTTCTCAAACAAGGTAAATACAATCGATCTTTGAAAGTTCCAATGGAATTCTCTGTCAGCAACTGTATTTTATTGTTATTGTGACATCAAGTGCACAATGATTCGACTTCCTAGCCACTTTATCTTTTGGCTTAACTTTTAGTTTTGTGCATGACAATATTGTCTCCCAATATGGCGATTAGAATAATAAGAGCGCAAGGTTAATCTAAACTTGGAGAATAAACAAACTCTGGTTAATGGGGTTTAGTAGAATATTATCTTATCTCTTAACACAACTTTTGTATGTCATACTTTGTTCTGTTTCTGCTCAGACATACCTACCATGTCAAACGCCAGAGCCATTGCGTCAATACAGACAACAAGAACTTGCCAACCTGCGAGGAAATGGGAAAGGAGAGCTGAAAGAATGGGATAGAGTTTATGACTATGCTTACTACAATGATTTAGGTAATCCAGACAAAGGTGACGCCTATGCACGCCCTGTTCTTGGTGGATCCATGGAGTATCCTTATCCTAGAAGAGGAAGAACGGGCCGAAAACCCACCAAAAAAGGTCAGGAAAATTGTATCAAATCATCTCAAGTCGTCCAGTATGTAGACACCTTAACATGATTTCGCATGTGTTAATCACAGATCCAAAGTCGGAGAGCAGATTACCACTTCTAAGCCTGGACATCTACGTACCAAGGGATGAACGGTTTGGACACGTGAAGTTCTCAGATTTCTTAGCATATGCTCTGAAATCTATTGCTCAAGTACTTCTCCCGGAGATTTCGTCTTTGTTCGACAAGACAATCAACGAGTTCGACTCTTTTGAGGATGTATTTGACCTCTACAATGGAGGCATCAAATTGCCAGGCAAGGCCACGGTAAGCAAAGTAAGAAATCGCGTACCATGGGAGTTGCTGAAGGAACTTGTTCGCAACGATGGTGAGAGGTTTCTCAAGTTCCCCATACCTGAGGTAATCAAAGGTATGAAGTCTCAACTCTTTTACAAGTTACTTATGTTTTAGCCGAAAACACCATAAGTGAAGTTACTTGCATGGGGGCATGATGAATTGCAGAGGACAAGTCTGCATGGAGGACTGATGAAGAGTTTGCTCGAGAGATGCTAGCTGGAGTCAACCCGGTTATCATCAGCCGCCTGCGAGTAATAATCATTCATTAGCTTAAACCAAATCTGGCAGACTCATTTGTATATGATAATCACTTAAACTCATTGCATTAACAACAGATTACATATGAATTTTTCTGCAGGAGTTCCCACCAGCCAGCCAGCTAGACCCTAAAAAATATGGAAACCAGCATAGCACAATAAAAAAGGAAGACATCGAAATCAACATGAATGGATTCACCGTTGACCAAGTATAGTACACCAATTCATGATATGCTTCAATTCAAATTCAAATATGAGATCATTATTAAACACAATTTGGTTTTCCCTCCCTTCCAACAGGCAATGGAAAGCAACAGGCTGTTCATACTGGACCATCACGATGCACTGATGGTATACCTGAGGAAGATAAACTCGACCAACACAAAGATGTACGCCACAAGAACGATTCTGTTCCTTCAAGACGATGGAACCTTGAAGCCATTAGCAATCGAACTAAGCCTCCTGCATCCACAGGGCGACCATCGTGGCGCCGTCAGTAGAGTATTCACTCCAGCAGAAGATGGAACAGTTGAGGGTACAATTTGGCAGCTAGCCAAAGCTTATGTCGCAGTCAATGACTCTGGCTACCATCAGCTCATCAGTCACTGGTTGAACACTCATGCTGTGATAGAGCCATTCATCATCGCGACAAACAGGCAGCTGAGCGTTCTTCATCCGATACACAAGCTTCTGCAGCCACACTTCCGCGACACGATGAACATAAATGCATTGGCCAGGCAGATCCTGATCAATGCTGGTGGAATGCTGGAGATCACTGTGTTCCCAGCCAGATACTCCATGGAAATGTCTGCTGTCCTGTACAAGAATTGGGTCTTCACCGAACAGTCCCTCCCTGCCGATCTTATAAAGAGGTAATAGCACTCCCAGCTCCCATCAAATTTGATCTTTTCTTCTTGCAATCATTCTCTGAGCTTCGTCACTTCACTCACTTGTCTCGAAATTTCAGAGGAATAGCAGTTCCAGACGAAACCAAGCCACACGGTCTCAAGCTTCTCATAGAGGACTACCCATACGCTGTAGATGGGCTAGAGATATGGTCAGCAATCGAAACATGGGTACAGGAATACTGCGATTTCTACTACCCAACAGACGAATCAATCCAAAAAGACGAGGAGCTCCAATCGTGGTGGTTAGAGCTGCGCAACGAAGGCCACGGAGACAAGAGAGACGAGCCATGGTGGCCCGAGATGCAGACAAGAGACGACCTCAAACAAACCTGCACAATCATCATATGGGTAGCCTCAGCGCTCCACGCAGCGGTGAATTTCGGACAGTACCCATATGCAGGGTTTCTCCCTAACCGCCCCACAATCAGCCGCCGATTCATGCCTGAACCGGGGACGCCGGAGTACAGTGAGCTCGAGCAAGACCCGGAGTTGGGTTATTTGAAGACGATTACGGCACAGTTACAGACATTGCTAGGGGTATCGCTGATAGAGATTCTATCGAGGCATTCGACGGACGAGATTTACCTGGGGCAGAGGGAGAGCGACGAGTGGACTTGCGATGACGAACCGCTGGCGGCGTTCAAGAGATTTGGGGAGAGGTTGAAAGGGATTGAGAAGCGGATTACGGAAATGAATGAGAATCCGAAATTGAAGAACAGGGTTGGGCCGGTGAAGGTTCCTTATACGTTGTTGTTCCCCAATACATCGGATTACTCGAGGGAAGGTGGGCTTACCGGGAAAGGAGTTCCAAATAGTATCTCGATCTGAAGAAAGAAACGAAGGCTAAAGAGGAGAAAAGATTGCAGCTTTTTTCACTAGGTCTCGCGAGAAAACATAACCCAATTCTTTTTTCGTTCTTGTTTTTCACCGCTGTATAGAAGGTTGATTGAGGTAGCTGTTGATTTCGGCTGTGGTTTGTAAGAATGTGATTGGATTTGGGAAAAAATCCCAAAATACTCTACCTATTAAAAAAAATTCCTCAAATACAATACTTATAAACTTTTTTCCCAAAATACAGCAGTTTCACCATCACTGTCTTTGTCCAAGACAGTGATAGTAATCATCGCTTTTGAGGACAGCGGGGAAGGTATCACCGCTTTTGAGGACAGCGGGGATAACATCACCGCCTCAAACCACGACAGTGATTGCTTCACCGCCTCGGACCACGACAGTGAATGCTTCACCGCTTTGGACCACAACAGTGATCGCATCCCCGCCTTTCAGAACGACGGTGATAATTCATCTCTTCACCGCGTTTATGTGAAACGGTGATAGCATCGCGGTGGAGAAAAGCGGGGATAATTGACCACGTTTTTCTACCCTGGTAGGTGGAAAATTAGGTCACAGCGACCTAGCTATCACCGCTTTGGACAACAGCGATGATGTGTTCACCGCCGAAGTCCAAAGCGGTGATTAGCAGCCATTTTTTCCTATATATACAGAAGCCCACTCCCTTCCTGCTGCTGCCTTACAGCAACCAAATACAACAAACCTTTTTTTTTAGTCGGTTTCTCAGCTGGTTTGGAGTTGGTTTACTGCTCAAGAAACTCGTCGGGATTCGGTATGTTAGAATTACGTATTGTTTACATTAATTTGTTTATATATATAGATTAATTATGATATGATAGATGTTAGTTAGTTAGTACTGAATTTAGATTAATTTGTTTAGTTTTCTCATGATAGATCGGGATTGAGTATGTTATAAGTATGTATTTTTTACATGTTGAGCTGTTAGTATGAATATGTCTGTATTTAGTGAATCGCAGTTATTGGAAAAGATGTTATGATATATTTAGATTAATTATGATATGATAGATGTTAGTTAGTTAGTACTGAATTAGATTAATTTGTTTAGTTTTCTCATAATAGATCAATTAGTTGCATTTTATTATGGGTTTGTTTTGTTTTTGTATCCATAATGTACTAATTGTATACTAATACTTAATTATTATAAATTGCAGACATGGGTAAATTTAAGAAGTTTCGGCTTATTATTCGGTGGAATGGTCGGGTGACAAACTCGAACATGGGGATCGACTATGAAGATGGCGAATCCAGTACGCTTACAATTGAGTCGAGGCCCTCGTGGCAAGAACTCCATGACAGGTGTGCAGAAAGGACTTGTACGGGCGGGCAAATGAGAGTTCGTCAAATTACTTACCGGTATCCCAACATGAGTGCTGACGGAGTCATGTACGAAAAAGTTGACATAAATGATGATGACGACGCGAACATGATGACACATTTCATATCTGAGAACGGCGTGCGGCTTGCAGAGGTGTATGTCGAGACCGAGCCGGTCGGTGAAACTCATTCTCACCAGTATTCTTATGATGATGGTTTTGCAGGAGGGTATGGCTGGGGTGGTAGTTCAAGTAACTACGGAGCAGGTTCTTCTGCCGGAGGGTATGGTTGGGGAGGTACTTCAAGCAACTACGGAGGAGGTAGTTCTGAAGGAGGTGTTGGGTGGGAAGAATACCTGCCACATGGTGGTGAGACTGCCGTCGATATCGTTCAGCCCGACGGTGATCAATGGCCTGCTTGGGGTCCAGAGTGGGGTGACATTGAAAACACCCTTCGAACTGGGCGTCCTTCGCATGACCAAGAAGGCGATGCTGGTTATGCTGCTAACGATGACCATCCTTCGCCGACCTATCCATTCGCCTCCAGTGACGATGAAAGTGAGGAAGATTTGAGATCAGTCAGTGAGGAGGAAGATACGGACGATAACGACGATATCGATGACAGTGAGGTGGCGTTCCGACAGGCACCAACGCCTTACTACACAGAGGTTCCTGATCAATTTTTATATGGTCAGAACGATGCCCCTGACTTTCGGCCCATGCCTGTGTATAATCCGACTGCTAATTTGGAAGTGGGTATGGCGTTCACTTCGAAAGCCGATGTGCAAGACGCTTTTAGCGAAGAAGCCATGCGGCGTAATTTTGAATGGAAGGTAAAATATTCTGACAAGGGACAACTGCATGTCATTTGTAAGAATGCTGGAGAGGGTTGTATGTGGCAACTTCGTGCTGCATATATGAAGAGAAAGGGGGTCTGGGTCATGCGGACAGTAGAGAACAACCACAGTTGCTCCTCAACCATACTTTCACAGGATCACCGGCAACTGAAAGCAAAAAAAGTGGCAAGAACCATTAAGCACCTTATCGAGGCACAACCAGATATCAAGATAAAAGCTATCATGGCGGAGGTGAAGGATCGACACTCCTACACCATAAGGTATAAGAAGGCGTGGCATGGGAAGCAGAAGGCCATGGCTGATGTCTACGGTGATTGGGATGACTCGTATGCTTTACTCCCCAGACTAATGTCCGCAATGGAGGAGTCCAACCCTGGGACGGTTTTCGTGCCTTGGTACAACAACGTAGAAACTGAAGATCAAGTTCGAGTACAGAACGAGTTGATGTTTCATCGTCTGTTCTGGACATTCAAGCCATGCATTGACGGGTTTCCCTTCTGCATGCCAGTGATTCAGGTATATTACGGACTCAAAATATTGTACTATTTCATTACTTTACTAATTTCAATTTTTATTAACTCATTATTCATTTTAACAGGTTGATGGAACTTTCCTTACTGGGAAGTATAAAGGAACTCTTCTTATTGCCACTGGGGTTGATGGAAATTTAAGTATTTTTCCCTTAGCATTTGCATTAGTTGAAGGGGAGAACAACCTAAGTTGGGCATGGTTCTTTGACCAGCTACACGCCCACGTCACACAAAGAATGGGTATTACAATTATATCGGATCGACATGCCGGGATTAAACACGCCGTCCGTGGTTTCCCGGACGAATGGGGATGGACATGGCGTTGGTGTATTCGTCACTTCCTAGCCAATTTCCAACACAAATTTGGCAAGAAGAAAGACATAAGAGATCAATTGTGGAGTGCAGGTAATAATGTAATTCAGTGATTGTTCATGGTTTATTGTTCAAATGAAATTTCTTATGGATTAATTATTAATTATCCGGTCTTGTAGCCGTTGCACATCAACCAAAAAAGTACGAGCAGAAGATGAAGACGATCCGTCAAATACACCGGGCGGGAGCAGTATGGGCAGAAGGTCAAGATCTGCACATGTGGACATTTCACATGGACAACGGGGCTAGATTCGGAATTGCAACTACCAACCATGGGGAGAGCATAAATGGAGTCTACAAGGGCATTAGGGCAATGCCTGTATCTGTCCTAGTGGAGATGACATATTGGAAGGTAAACGAGTGGTTTGTGAAGAGACGGGATGCTGCTATAGGGAGGGAGCGTGCTGGTCATTCAATAGCTAAGCATATATTTGATGGCATGCAGAAGATCGAAGAGAAATCAAGTAAGCACAGAGTTGTCCTGTTCAACCGCAATGAAGGTATTTTTGCTGTGCAAACAGGTATCTGGGGTGGAGGAAGACGTGGGCATAATCGTCAATCCGTTACTCTACACGTAGAAACTCGCACCGGAGAGTGTACATGCCAAAAGTATCAAAACAGAAGAGTACCTTGTTCACATGCAATGGCAGTAGCTAAGTCGATAACCCTCAGCGCTTACAGTTTGGTTAGTCCTTACTACACGGAACAGGCGATCAGGAACTCCTACTCGTCAAGTTTTAGCCCCCTGCCGGATGAAGCTTATTGGCCTGTAGACAATGGGAAGTTGATTATCCCACCGTTACACTTAAAGCGCACCAAAGGTCGTCCTAGGACCGAAAGGATTCACAATGAAATGGACCAATCACAACGTGCCCGACGGGGTCCAAAGCGTTGCTCAAAGTGCAGACAACCGGGTCATGACAAGAGGCGTTGCCCAGGTCCACCTATAGAGCAAGATTCGGCGCCAATTCCGAACCAACCTTGATGTTGTTGTTGTTCACTTCCTTGTTTTAATCTTGTTGAGTAGTTTTCGTTGTTGTGATGTTTAATTTGGACTTCTTGTTTTAATCTTGTTGAGTGATTGTAATAAAGGGCGTTTGTTGTTCATTTTGTTTCAACATGGGGGTAAAAACCAACCAAATTTAGCCGACATAGATAGTTAATGGAAAACAACACAATCCGATTGCCAAATTTAGAAACATAGATAGTTCATGGAAAGCAACACAAGACCCAAACCAAATTTAGACGACATGGATAGTTCATGGAAAACAAAAAAAGATGAAACTAAATTAGAACGACATAGATAGTTCACTGGTTGTCTTCATTTCCCTCCACTTCCCCTTCTCTTCCTCTTCCTCTTCCTCCACGACCTCCTCGGCCCCTTCTTCCTCCCTCTCTACCTCCTCCTCCTTCTTCACGAGCCCGTTGGACAACTGCGCGCGGATTCCTCTTAACCCGACCACCCACCGGAGTGTAGACAGGTGGTGGGGGGGGAGGTTGCTGAGATGGACCAGAAGCGTGGTAGAAAGTCGATGATGTATGTTGTTGTTGCGGGGTCTGATACTGAGTAGTTTGTTGCTGATGGTGAAACTGAGGGGTGGCTTGGGTGAACATGTCATGCTCCTGAGTCGGGGCATAGCTTGACGACCCTCCGGTTCCCTCAGTACTAGTAGCCCACTCACAATGTGGCCATGGTTGAGGAAGTTGAGTTTGCTGAGACGGACGAAGCTCTTCAATGTGTTCTCTCACCCTTCTTCTGCTCCTCCGTGGGGGCTCTTGTGGGGGCACAATCCTCTCATCAGCACGGAATGAAGGTCGGGCCGGAGCAGGCACTGGAGGGTATAATATGACATCCCTCCTTTGCTCTCTGGTACAACAGAGCAAGTTGTTGAAAAGCCTGCGCAAAAAAGATGTCTTCCGCTCATCCATGGTGGGTGCACTCTCGACGGTGTGCTTCGCATGCTCCAAACCGTCAACCTAATAAATTGTTGTACAAAATTAACTAATAGTAAATCTAATAATGATTTCTATCATCTAATATAGGCATGTAATCATACTACAAAAATTAACTAACATTAAATCTAATAATGATTTCTATCATCTAATATAGGCATGTAATCATACTACAAAAATTAACTAACATTAAATCTAATAATGATTTCTATCATCTAATATAGGCATGTAATCATACACCAAAAATTAGGCCAAACTGGAATTCACTTACCACTGCGCCCCAAACAGCACCTTGCTTTGACACCCATCTTAGCGTGAAGTTCCGATACCACCGCATGTAGCCATCGTGGTACCCCATTGGCCTTGTCTCCGGCGCCCCTTGGACCACCCACTGATTTCTATTCTCCCATATGTTGATGTAGAATTCATGCTTGCGGGTCCAATCCTTTTTGTTGTAGCGTAGGTCAATGGCGTGGAGCTCCCTGAACCCTTGAGGTGGGGATGCTGGAATTGGTTGCTCCAATCGATATTGCCTCAAAGATCGATCGGGCAGGTGCCACTCCACCATGTGCCAGCAGATTAAGGGCACCTTGCACAACCATGTCTCTTGATCCTCGGGATGTCTAAGACGATGCAACTCAACCACTTCATTTGGATATGGATCCCATACCGCCTACAATCATTAAAATTCATGGAATTAGTAAAAATTATATCCACTCCACCTAATAAATTGAAAATCATGACATTCAATATTTTTACCTGGTTCCACCAAGGCTTATCAAATTCAGCACGATAAAACAGTAAAGAGTGCTCGGGCTGGTGGTCGTTTGTATTTGCTCCGATCCACCTAATTAAGCAAAAGTACATATATAAGCAATTTTTAAATTAGCTAAATGCGATTTGGTTAGAATAAATCCAAATTCACTTACTTGGAAGATATCTAAATTCACTAATCATCTAGAATTGCAGACCTAAAATGTCTCTAAATCCGCTTAGTTGGAAGATAGCTAAGTTCACTAAAATACTATAATTCTAAACCCTAAATTGCATACTAAGTTCACTAAAATCTAAATTCACCTAACTAGCTACCATTGCATATCTAAAATAAATTCAACTTAAATTGAACTTACTTGAAACCATATGGGGGATTTGCTACAAATCGTAGCTCATCATCTGGCAACCAGAATTCCCGAGGGTCTCGAGGTGCGAGAAACGGAAGATGCTCCCATGCCCAGAGCTGGAGTATGAACATCGCACCACCAGCTTGTTTCGCTCCCAACTTCGAGCAAGTACACAACTCGCGGTAGATCCCAGCCAAGACGGCCGACCCCCAGCTTCTTTGCCCGATCTCGTCCCAGTCACCGAGGAGCATATTTAACCACATGCCTTGTATCCACCGGTTTGACTTGTCGGGGAACAGAAACCCACCAACCAAGGCAATTAGGTAGACACGTGCATACCGCTCCACCTGATCTTCAGGAGTATCCAGGCCTATATTAACCTCCATCTGGATGTGGTCAACAAGCCACGGGATCGATACTTGCCCCGCATTCAGTGGTGGATGCCCCTGACCTTCGACGGGCGTGGTGGTCGGCATGTTGAACCCCAGACGTTGTTGAATTAATGGCCCCCAACCGTCTTCTGGTTTTCTCGAGCTGTCGATGATGGCATCTCCGGTGATCGGGAGCCCGGTGAGGATGGCAACATCTTTGAGGGTGATCGTCATTTCACCCTCGGGAAAGTGGAAGGTATGCAGCTCAGGGCGCCATCGCTCTGCCATTGCCGTCAGCAGATCGTTGTCAATATCTAGCCTCATAAAGTGCCTCAAATTGTGCAATCCCGCCCTCTCTAGATAGGGATGCAGTCGAGGATGCCAACGGGGCAATCGACATGTACCTCGATGACTGATGGGAATAAGTGATTCCTACAAAACAAAAAACACAATATTGTCAGTCAATAGAAAGCAAAATAAAAACTTAGAAAGCAAAATAAAAACTTTAAAACTATTGAAATAATTTTAGTGTGTCTACCGGATTATTGTTCCAAATTGAACGAGAGCGATGTTGATCTTGCCCGGTTAAATACCTTCGATCCCTTGGGCCAGGATCGATATACAATCTAGGGTCGTATATCTCAGCACCCATCTATAAAAAAATATGAAATCAAATCAATTAAATAAATTTTTTGCACCCATGTAAAAAAAAAGCACAAAAGAATTAAATAAATTTACGTACTCTCAAAGCCTCTTCGTCCATTTTTTGCCGAAAAGCTAGCGAGAGTATCGACAAAAAACAAAAACTCTAGTAATTCTTTCTGATGCGGAAGATCGGACTTAGCCGCAACCACAGAGCATACTTAGAACGAAACTAGAGTAAAGTAAAGGAGGGAGAAAGAAGTATAAAATTTTGGTGTGATTGGAATGAGGGAGGGGAGTGGTATTTATAGGGGAAAGGGGCGCTGGAAATGGATCCAGGAACCAATCACCGCGTTTAATGAAGGCAGTGAAGTCACCGCGTTGAATGAAGGCGGTGAAGGCTCGGATGGCTGACGTGGCGCGGCGTGAGGCGTCGGATCGTGGAGAAAAACCACAATCCGCGCCTCACCGCATCGAACGGCAGCGGTGAAGGGCGCGGATGGCGCGGATGGCTGACGTGGCGGGGCGGGGCTATCACCGCTTTCGTCTTACGCGGTGAAGGCCCCGCTCCTCGCCACGTCAGCGATCCGCGCCAACTTCACCGTTTTAGATCTCAACGGTGATAATGCTTCACCGTTGTTCTTATCAACGGTCAAGCTATCACCGCGTTGGTTTAGGGCGATGATAGCTTCACCGTTTTGGACAAAAACGGTGATAGCATCACTGTTGTTGTTTAAAGCGGTGATACTATCACCGTTTTGGACCAAAACGGTGAACACCATCACTGTCTTGGACAAAGACAGTGATGCTGAAACTGCTGTATTTTGGGAAAATTTTTTATAAGTATTGTATTTGAGGAATTTTTTTTAATAGGTAGGGTATTTTGGGATTTTTTCCTTGGATTTGTGTAGCTTGCTAATTGAGAGGAAGCGTGTTCATACTTGTGAAATTGTAATCCTTGGGCTACCGGCGAAAGCCTTAGTTGGAAAACCCAGTTTCAGAGGTGACCGGAAGGTCTTTCTGTCCGGTGAGCGATGTACATCTTGCATTTAGGTAGTTAGTCGCTGATTCTTTTTGCCGCAATCAGAAGGGGATTTAAGCATAAGTGACTGCTGCTGATGAACGCAGAAAGGAATTTGGGCAAGTGAGCAACAATATCTGCAGTTCAGTTCTGCATAGGATTGCAACAAAACCCGAACACACGAGTACCCACCCGACCCAACCCGGTCAATGCGGATAAAATTCGTGTTGGCGGGTTTTGGGTCGGGTTCGGGTTTAAACCTGCTACACTATTCATCGGGTCGGGTTGGGTTTGGATTTAGGTAAACCCGTCCCATGGGTACCCGCCCACACACATATAATTACTTTCACGGTATATTTAATATTCTAAATAATATATATTCCTTAAACAACTAATATTCTATATATTTATTGAGACATGTAAAATTTGTTCTTTCTAATTGTTTAAAATGAGTTTGATATTATGAAGTGGAGAGTGAAGAAACTTAGTTGACGAGGAAGAAGTTTTCAATTAATCTTATTGTTTATATATGTTTATCTTTAATTTTGAACAATTTGTATTGATCATTTGCGGTTTGCTTGCATGCTCTAGATTGGTGTTTTTTGTATGATTAATTTGTATAAGAAAATTGATGTTAAACTTTTATTTTGAAAAAAACTTGTTATTATAAATTTTTACCACAAAAACCCACGGGTACTCATGAACCCGCGGATACCCAGCGGGTTGAATTTGAGTTTTTCAAACCCAAAGAGTTTTATCTCGAATTTTTCTGCAGATAAACCCATGGATTTGGGTTTGACAAAACCCGCCCATGGCTGTCGCACGTCAACAACATCAAATTGATCAAGAAACAGATATTATGCAGATTACAGAACGAAAGGATGAGGCATTGGGTAAGCCTACGTGTCAAAATCCACCATTCTAATTGGTCCAATCCAAATTCCCCCCTTATCCCCTCCATCCCAAAAGAACTCTCACCACCACCACAACCTTTACTCCCCCCACTCTACAATCTCTTACTTCCTCCACAATTCCCCTCCCTCTTCCTCCAAACCCAAAAAAAATCCTTCCTCCAAAATCCATCAATCAATGGCAGCCATGGCAACCCAATCCACCCTCTTCACTCCCCCACTCAAACCCACCACCACCTCCCTCTCCACACGGAACCCCAAATCTCTGTCCTTCACTCCCCTGAATCTCCCCCTCAGATCCACCACCTTCAGAACCGCCGCCGCCGAGGGCAGCAGCGCAGCCCCTGTAGAAGCACCACCGGCTCCAGTCGGATTCACCCCGCCGGAGCTCGACCCGACCACCCCGTCCCCAATCTTCGGCGGATCCACCGGCGGGCTCCTGAGGAAAGCCCAGGTCGAAGAATTCTACGTCATCACCTGGGAATCCCCAAAAGAGCAGATCTTCGAGATGCCCACTGGCGGAGCCGCGATCATGAGGGAAGGCGCGAACCTGCTGAAGCTGGCGAGGAAAGAGCAGTGCCTGGCGCTGGGTACAAGGCTGAGGTCCAAGTACAAGATCAAGTACCAGTTCTACAGGGTGTTCCCCAATGGTGAGGTTCAGTATTTGCATCCCAAAGATGGGGTTTACCCGGAGAAGGTGAACCCTGGAAGGGAAGGCGTGGGGCAGAATTTCAGGTCGATTGGGAAGAATGTTAACCCGATTGAGGTTAAGTTTACTGGGAAGCAGCCTTATGATTTGTAATTTGTGTGGCGAGTGGAGTGTGGGTTGCTCTCGAGGGATCGATGGTGTTGTTAATACAAGAAGCTTGATTAACGTGTGTAATCTCTTGGCTGGTTGATTATGTTTAAACAAAGTGTATTTTGTTACTTTGCTGCTGGTTTTTGGTTTTGTGGTTGTGGCTTGTGGGTTGTCATCAGGAATTCATTGCTTTGTTGCAACTACAATGACCTTCATATAGAATTGGGCCACTCGTTGAACTGTTTAATGGGCTTCTCTCTGGAGGCCCGAATGTGAAGTTCAAGGAGTAAGCCCATAACGCCAGTAATTATTAATTAAGTCCATAAGCCCAGCGAATTATTAGCCACTAAGTTAAAATAGTTGGAGGGACTAGGTCTGAAAACGAAATTGCTGGTGAAATGGAGAGCTCTGCAGCGTTTGGTTCCCAGTTTCCAGACCCACCTTGAGCCCATCTCTATCATGTTATTATCCCTTCCAAATAAGTTATAATCAAAGACTGAGAGATCAACGATAATGAATGGTTATATATAAACCTTCTAATAATAATAAATGATTTTATTAAGACCGGTAATTGATTTTATTTTATAATCAACCACGAGAATCGAGCATCTGAGAGGTCCTGATGGGATTGAACCATACGTCCTTATCCTTCCGCCAATAATTTAATATCGAGAGGGACCTGATTATGATTCATTGTTTAAACTAATGACGATTAATTCCCTCTCCTTCTCGCCGCAAGTAAACCAAACCCCAACACTGTCTTCTTGTTGTCGTCATCACCTGGTGAAGAGAATTAGATGATTCAACTCCCAATTGAACAATCGTCCTCTTCACACACCCAGAAGTTGGTGAGCTCATCATGTGCACATATAGGTTCCAATCTGCCAATTCCATTGCTCAACAACCAATCAAGCATTTTAATGTAGCGGAATTACGGATCTATCCAAGACCTCAACACTGCGGAGCCTTCCTTGCGGCGGTCGAGATCCTTGGCGGTGGCGATTCCGTTCCTCCGGTCGTCACCAATCGTCATCCTCCTCCTGCCGCTGCTTCCGACAAGGCGGCTCCAACTCCCGCTCCGGCGTTCTGGGCAATTCTGAAAGGCGGTGGCGCGTCGGCGAAGAAGAAGGACGACGTGGCGGCGGCGGGGAGGAGGAGGACGGTGAGCAGCTTCGGAGGATGACGATGAGGAAATCGAGGTCGGTGGCGGTGACGTCAGCGGATGCAGGGAGGTCGTCGTGGAAAGGAAGCGGCGGAGGGAGAGGGTGGCATTTCCCGAGCCCGATGAAGGTGTTCCGGCAATCGAAAAGGTCCGCCAGAGGCGGCGGCGGTTTGATCTTTGGGTCTGACGGTTACAATCCAGAGCACGGTTACAAATCCAGAGAGGACTCCAACTGCAATCCGTTTCAGATACGCTTGTTCTTTCTCTTTCCTCCCTAATTTTAATATTTATTTATTTCCAGGAATATAATTCTAAAATTTTTTAATTTTATTTTCTTTAACGGCTCGTGTATATATAAACTTTTCATTGACTTTACTTAAAAAAAGTAATAAAAAATGTTTTTCTTTTGACCTTGTTAGCTTTTGATTCGGAGTTTCCGACTAAGCCTCAATGGCTTGTTTAAGTCCATTCGGTGGAGCTTAGTTGTCCTCCAGTATGGGCGCTTGTGTGTTTGTTTGTTTTTGTAGGGGCACGTAGTTTTCCCTTGACTATACAAGCATCAATCCATTATGATTCAATCTCGTGATGTGGCGCATGCGACAGGTGGAGCGATCTCGGAAGAGATTTGTTTGGCGTATGTGTATTTTAATTTCTTTATTTGTACTTTTACGCAGAGGTTGTACAACAGGGCTGCCCACTTAGTGGCTTCTAATGCCCTTTCATCGACAGCTCGATATTGTGTCGACTGTCGCGTCTGATTTTCTAGCGTCCTGTAATATTTATTTCATTCCCGATCTATGACAAAAAAAAAAACTAATGACGATTAGATCAACACAATTGAAAGCGACTGCATGCAGGAGTGAGTATATCAGTTTATTATAATATTGGCCTCTCTCTTACTCAACTACCGTTCCTAATTGGCAACGTATGCACTTAGCGTGTCATTTGAGATTCCACTAATAAGACGTCTATATTGCATTCTTACTTAAGTTAATTATGTTGTTGATTCAAATTGTTTATTCCTATGTTGGTGGAAATGGAATATGAAGTGGACTGAACAATCTTATTATTTATCACAACTAATGTTATTAAAGCTTTTGGTGATAATTTGTGGTTCTGGTGGTTCGGGTCACCCTTCCATGTGATTATAGTAATTTCGATGCAAATAGACGTGGATGTCAATAGAACAAAACTCATCTGCGATTCAATTTCAATAAACTTTTGTGGTTTCTTGTATTTTTTCTAATGTAACATTTATATATTTAATTTTAGGACTTTGCTACGGTGACATGCATGTCACGGTGACATGCACTTTTCGGTCGACCTCATGTAGGATCAGGTCGACCTAATCTGTTGTTTCAGTGTAAAAACAGTTTCATGGTGCCTACTTTGGAGATTCATATCTTACAATTGGATAAATGGAAATTGGAGATTGAAGGCTTGTTTTGAAGCTGAAATGTCCCTCTACATATTAAAGTACTTGAGAGCTTAATAGAAAGTCCAGAAGACTATTTTTGAACCTGACCACAAGTCTATGCCAAAACTGGGAAACTGCCTGAAAATGGCCAAGTCTGGCAACGTGTTTGTCAAGCCTACTTTGGAGCTCAATTTGAGAAGCATGGATGCGAGTCAAGTCCAGGGGCCTCTACCACGTTAAATTACGTATTTTTTTATACAAAGTCAAGGCATTTGATGAAAGATTGAATATCTTTAAGGCTTCAAACAAAAGGCTCGAAGTTGCTACGAAGGCTGTTTTTCTGGCCGCTTGCTTGTGCTCGAAGTCTGCCAGAAAAACAGCCTTCGTAGCAACTTCGACCCTTTTGTTTGAAGCCTTACAGATATCCAATCTTTCATCCAATGCCTTGAATTTGTATAAAAACATACCTAATTTAACGTGGTAGAGGCTCCTGGACTTGACTTGCATTCATGCTTCTCGAATTGAGCTCCAAAATAGGCTTCACAAACATGTTTCCAGACTTAGCCATTTACAAGCAGTTTCCCAGTTTTGGCATAGCCTTTTGATGAGGTTCAAAAATGGACTTCTGGACGTCCTATCGAGCTCTCAATCACTTCAATATGTAGAGGGACACTCCAGCTTTAAAACAAGTCATTAGTCTTCAATTTCCATCTAGCCAATTGTATGATATGAAAATCCAAAGTAGGCACCATGAACTGTTTTTACACTGAAACAACAGATTAGGTCGACCTGATCCTATATGAGGTTGACCGAATCCTAAATGAGGTCGACCAGATCCTATATGAGGTCGACCGAATTCTAAATGAGGTCGACCTAATCCTAACTGAGGTCGACCGGAAAGTGCAAGTCACCATGACATGCATGTCACCGTAGGCACACCCTTAATCTTATTATGAATTGACATATTTTCTTATTATCGAGGATGACCATTCACATCAGTTTGGGTATTTCTGATGAAACATAAGATTGAAACTCGAAACTTGTTAAAAACATTCTATTACTTTACAAATAATCTGATAAAATGATAAAAGGAACAAAATACTAAAATAAAGAGGAAATATCAACACAGGCTTGTTAAAAACTTTCTATTACTTTACAAATAATTTGATAAAACGATAAATGAACAAAATACTAAAATGAAGAGGAAATATCAACACATTCATAAAATTAAAAGATCGTTTAGATTTCAGTTTGGCTTCTTTTATTTCTTTTTTTATTACCTATAAACCATAACCTCACGTGTTACTTTGTAACAGCAAGCCTTACTAAATTTGAGGGTCACCTGCAATCAATTTCGACGCCAACGAGGCTTTCCCCAACAACCTCATACCTCCTGAAACACCAACATGTCTCGCTTGAAGCTACCGTTAGTTAGACTATCTTTACCTTTGTAGTTTGGCTTCCTTTACAATAATGAAATGATTGCATTCTTTCATTCCGTTTACCTAATCAACAGGCTTCCTAGGCATATGCTTGAGTGCGGTCAAATTTGGTCGAACAAATTGGTGGAATATCCTAATGCATACTAATCGTGATCCCATTCCCCACACCAACCCAAGGCTTCTTAACAATCGATCATATCAAAATAACAACAAACCCAGAAGGTTCTAGAAAGCAACTTTACATTTCTTATTTCCACTTCTTATCAACACCATGGAACCTCGTTACAAACATTACATTAAAGCCATTAATTAGTAATACACATCACATGTACAACTTGTTCTTTCCCCCCCCCCCCCCCCCCCCCCCCTTTATTTGTCACGCCCATCACGTTACTCTAGCAACTTGTTTACACCTATGTACCCATTAACTCCATAGTAATGTACGCAGATCTTGTGTACAGTTACGTTCCACCTTCCGATTAGGCCACCACGGTGGCCGCGGCGGTGACGAGAATCGAATCCATCTCGCTCTTGCTCCGGTTGATCCGTTGATCGCCGCCGGCGGCGGCCCAGATCTCCGGCACCACCTGTGCCAGATTGTGGATCTTTTCCAGCACGTAGTCTGCTTCCGGGCTCTTCACCGTCTTCCCTACCTGCAAATCGTATCGGTTCCAATTATTGGTCCATTTCATCAAATTCTATCGTCTTACACGTGTCCAGAAAAGATATTTAATTTTCACCCCCACTGTTAAAAAAAAGAAGCACAAAACGACAGGTGGAGAGTAAAAACAAAAGCAAAAAGTTTACCAGGACGGTGGAGAGGCCCAGAGCTTTCCCTGCTGCCACGTTGCGGCAGTTGTCGTCTAGAAACAGCTGTCATCCAAAGTAAAAAAATTGAATTGAATTAAATTAACCCACGGCTGTAAAAAGAGGGGGACGCTACGCTACAGACAAATTATAGGAAGGCTGATCGGCGGCGGGAGATAGGTATTTACCGTGCGGCGGGGATCGACGTCGGCGGCGCGGAGGGCGATTTTCATGGCGTCCATGGAGGGCTTGAGGAGGACCGGGAACTCGTCGGGTCGGGTCGAGTTAGGCAGGTTCGGGTTCATGGTCTCAAAGCAGATGATCTTTTCGAAGCAGTCTTCCAATCCTAGCCTTTTCAGCGCCGCGATTGCGTGGTTCCTGTCCGAGTTCGTGAATATCTACGCGGTGGGGGAAATTCAATTCGTAGTTAAGTTAATGATCGGTGGGGAAGAACACCATCTTTGAATCGATTTGTTCACCGGACTTACGATTTTCCTTTGGGGGATACTTCTCAGGAGGTTGCGTAGTTGAGGTTCTTGCTTGATCAAGTGGTAAGGCAATCTTCCGTGCGCGAAACTGTTCGGAAAAAAACGCCGATCGAATTTCAGTCCATTTTCTTGTTGGGAGTAAACCAACGACAGGTGGAAACAAAACTAGACAGACCTGTGGTACTCATCGGCGTCGATATTGTAGCCTAACGCCTGCAGAAATTGCAAATTTCTCATCTCAGGGAGAGAACCACAACGGGAAAAAGATGAAAACTTTGATCGGTAGTGGGGATTCGTTCACTTACCCGTAAGCCGGCAAGAGAGCTGCCGTAAGTCTTGAAGAGCTCCGATCGGAGACTTGGAGCTTTGTGCTGGGAGAATCCACATTTCTCAACCAGAAAATCTGCCCAATTGGGAAAAAAAAAAAAAAACAGGGGATGATGTGAAACAGGGGACTCTGGAGATGAATTTCAATGGTTTCAGGGGAGGTTTTTTTTTCACAAATCAAGTTACCGTCGATGTTGTTCCGGAGAGCTTCGGCTATTCCAATCTTGGAAGAGTAAAGGGTGTGACAGCAGGGAATATTTTAAGCGCCATTAAAACGCGGCATCTTATCTGGGGCTCCACTTAATATGCCTTTGGTTTAAGACTTGAGAGCTAAGTACCTTATATACAAAGGCCATGGTAATCGTGGAACATATGACCTAATGACTTTGAATTATCGTGACGACTTAGCACGATGTTTATGTGAGTAGGTTTGGTACACTGAGAAAGGATTTCGCATTTGGACAAGAAAGAAATTAGCATTGTTGTAGAGGGGACGAGAGTTTATGGGATGTGATCGTTTAGTTGACAATCGATGTCATTCTGATTCACATTTCGTTTGTTTGGGTTTAACGATAATATTGTATGATTTGCGGAGGTGGGTATGATCTTCGGTTCATAATATATGAAGATTACAATTAAGATAGACTTTGTGAAAATAGAAAGTAAATGTGAGAGAGTTTAAAAACACAAGCTAATGTATGCGAGAAAAAGCGAACACAGTCACTCTGAAACTCAACATTTTAGTTGCTCATGAAAAAAGTGAATTCCTATGAAAGACTCTTCAACGTCGTCCAGGTACGATCCTTTCAAGCTGTATTCTTCAGTTCTTCATTCATACACAGTGGTAGAGCTAGCTAGGTTATAGCTTGGAGGGGTGATAGCCCCCACTCAACTTTGAAATGCATGTATTTACATATGCAAATTAAATTCGTATAAATTTAGAAAATAAATTAGTCGCTAAGGAATTAGCCTCCCTCTTCAATTATCACGATTCAAAATCAGTCCCGCATTTAAATTTTTGGCTCCGCCACAATTCATACATATATATTTGTGTCCTTTTTTTTACGAAGAATGCATCATTTCGCAAAAGATCGTGATTGTTAAAAATTATACCAAATAAGTACAGAGTTTATGGAATTACAGCTTCCAATCGAACCCGATTCCTTTTTCACCCACCCAGTAGTGGGTAACAGTTTAAACCAGCTTAGCATGAAAGAATAAATGAGATACCACAAAGCCTCCTAATCATCCCTCCCCTCCTAATTCCCTTCCCCTCCCCTCCATTTTCCTCCCTTCCTTCGGAAACAGAGGGTTAAGAAGAGAAAAGGAGGGAAAGGAAAAATGGGGAAGGAAAGTGAGCTTCCCAATGCATTTTTCCTTGTTCTTTTGTGGAGGGAAAGTGGGGAAGAGAGGAAAACTTTCTCTTCTTGGTACTATTCAACCCCCCCTCCAAATTGGAGAGAAAGAACAGGGGTTAAAGACACATTTGGTCACTGAGATTACAAAATCGGGACATGTTTAGTCACTAGAAAAAGTTAATATCAAATTTGGTCACTACAAATACTAAAACCGGACACATTTAGTCACTCGCCGTTAGTCTCCGTCCAACTCCGTTAATGAAGTCCCTTAAGTGCTGATGTGGCAAACAGAATTGCCTAATCAGCCGGATATAACCCAACAAAAATAAAATCCGACCCGCCACGTCATTAAAACCAACCCAACCCCACCCATCCCATGACCCAACCCCACCCAACCCTTCTTTCCTAAAAACAACATCCATCGTCAACCCGATTTCATCAAAACCCTAGAAGAAGAAAGTGCTAAATCCCACTATTGGGAATTCACCCACAATCTTGCAAATGTTCACTTCGCTTACTCGAAGGCTGCGTTTCAGGGACGAACCCACCGCCATGACCCAAAGGATCACTCATCGCCTCAAGATCGGGTTTGGAGTGGGTAAGATTCGCGTACTGATTCTTCAGTTTTTGGGTCTGCTCCAGCGTCGAAATGACCCGACTCATGAACGCCAGCTGCGTTCCGTACGGCTGGTATGGGAACTCCACTGGGATTCCTCCTACATGATAAGCCCTCTTGGAATTGAAGCTAGGGTTTTGATTCGCCGGAGGCGACCATTGATGTTCAGACACCATTGCTCCTGGAGAGATCAGTGATGGTAGTTGTGAGGAGTAAAAGTGAAAATGAGGCTGAGAGGAAAGAAGTGGGAAAGGGTTTTTTTTGGTTTTTTCGGTGGGTTGGGATTTGGGGGAAGAAATGTATAAGAGGAGACGAACAGATTTGGTGAGGGATGGTGAAGGATTGCTCTGTTGGGTTAGGTCGAACAGGTTTGCGGGAGGAGGTGGGAGGAAGGAGGAGAGCGGCGGCGGTGGTTTTGGGGAAAGAAGGAGGTGGGAGGAAGGAGGAAGAATGGTTGGGTGGGGTTGGGTCATGGGTTGGGTTGATTTTAACGACGTGGCGGGTCGGGTTTTATTTTTGTTGGGTTATATCCAGCTGATTAGGCAATTTTTTTTGCCACATCAGCACTTAACGGACTTCATTAACGGAGTTGGACGGAGACTAACGGCGAGTGACTAAATGTGTCCAGTTTTAGTAATTGTAGTGACCAAATTTGATATTAACTTTTTCTAGTACCTAAACATGTCCCGATTTTATAATCTCAGTGACCAAATGTGTCTTTAACCCGAAAGAACAGGGAATGAAGGTTGAAGGACATACATGCATGTACTTTTTTTTTAATATTTGTCTAATAATTAAGTTCCCAACACAAAATAACATTAATTAGTAATTCAATTGCCAACTTCATTGTTATACAAGATTATTAACTTTACCCACTCTCTCACATTCTTATTTGTTCGTACTTAATCTCCAAAACAAGATAAGTGATCCTTTTAATTACCAGCATGAATATAATCAAATTAGTCCCGGTGTCTTTTTAGCCTTCAGTTTGCCGCCTAACAAAATTAATTAGTAACAAAGAAGTAGCCAAACAAAAATAATCATTTCAGTAAAAGAATGAAGAGTTATTAAATCGTAGCATGTGTATGTAGTGTGATGTGTTATTTGTTTATGTTTTTAGTTGCTATGTCAATAAATCAACAAAATAGCAAACAAAATTTTTATATAGGTTGACACTATCAAATATTAACACACAATCACATTATTTCACTATTACATAATCAATAAAATAACATATTCATCACAATTTCCAATACACACTTTCCTTCCCACTTTCCTCCATAAAACAACATTTTCCGCGCAATTTCCTTCACCTCAAATCTCCCCTCCCCTCCTAATTTTCCTTCACCTCCCCTCTTTTTCCTTCCTTCGGAAACATAGTGTTGCACTGGTAATGAGTAATGACTAATAATGACTGATTTAACAAAACATTAGCAGGGTGGGTTGGAGAATGACACAACATGCATCGATTGTTGTGGTTGTCTTGTCGGGTTTTCCAATCAAACAAAACCCACTGATTTGGGCTTACGTATTGAAACCTGCCTTCCATTCCTTCATAATGTCGAACAAATAATGTCACATTATTGCCTAACATAATTCCCTTCTTTGTTTTGCCAGCATGCATGCTAGCGTAATTCTTCTTTGTTTCGGTATCAATTATATGATTAGTTGGGTTGTCCAATCATATCTTTTATTTATCTTTATATTTAATTGATAAGTCAAATAAATTTGAGTAGCCTAGTTTGTGGAAATTGTAATCAATACGTTAATAGTGATTTATCGAAAGTGTTTCTCTCCAAAATACTGTCATATCTCTCCCAAATTTTTTTGAAGTTAGAACAAACAGTCTCCTCTCGTCCCGAATCTTTTCTTTTTCCCCAATTTTCTCTCAGTGAGAACCCGAAAATGAAAAGAAACAAAGAGCGCGTCGATTTTGAAATTAAAATGTAGATATTTGGTAACCGAAAATGTAGATATTTGTATTGAATTGGGGAAGATAAGATGACTTATGCTGGAGGAAGATATCAAAGATCGCACCCCAATTTCTTTCATCAATAGTTTCCCTCACCCAGTTCGCACACTCATCACTCTTCTTCCTCTCTTAGCTTTATTCTCTAAATCCCAATGGAAACAACAAGCCAAACTCAAATCAATGATAAAACTATAATACAGAACACATACATATATTTAGAGAAAAATCTACAAATATGCACAATTGAAAAAAAGGAGGGAAGCTTTCTGTTGGTTTGATTATAGATATATTATTTTGGTCTAACCTTATCGAATCACTTACTAAACGATAAGTTGGTTAACTGACATAAATCACCAATAACCTACTATACAATTACAGTTAACCGACATAATAATTGATTAACGATTAATCGATGACGAAAAGAATAGTTATAGTTATATTCAAACCAAACGACTAACAACCCATGTCTACACCATCCTAGTAATGAAGTTTGTCGGAGTTTGCTCGGGAGCAAGGGGATTAACCTGGCAAATTACGATGCGAACTCGCCCGAAAAATATAAGTTTCATAACCCGAAACCCGAATGAACCGCACCCGATTAACTCATGATTTTTCGGGTCTAGTTGGGTGGGTTAGCAGGTCGACCCGTTAGACCCGTTTCACTTCATATGTCACTCCAAAATGATAAAATCACTCATAAATTGGTGATGTGTTAAAAAAATACTCAAGGATTGAAATACATGTTTGGAGTTTAACGATAATCAAATATCATGTGTTTCTTGTTGTAGTATTACTCTTGAAATTGTTTTGACGATTTTTTGCAATTTTTATTTCATTTCATTTCATAGAATAGAGGATTTGAGAATATGTTAATTGACATGTATTAGATAAAATATTGCCATGCATATGTGAAGATTTGTGTTCCTTATAAAAAATATGAAGCATGTTTGATATTATTTCTAAGAGTGCCCACAACTTGAAACGACTTGTAACCCAACCCAAAACCCAATGAGTTGGATTAATATTTGACCCAAAATCAGCCAACCCAATAAAACCTGACACATAACCCAAGGGTCCAACCCAAAATTACCCAACCTAATCCGATTGTCGGGTGTACATGGAATGAATAAATGAATTATGATGAATGTGGCTGCGCTATGAGCCCACAACAATATAACTCGGTTGGACCTGACTGAGCATAATCGAGCCCAGCCTGGTGTTCCATGTTCCATCTCTTAAGCCGTTAAGCGGCCAAAAAGCAATCTCTCTGGAAAAGCCACAAAAACCCAATTCTACATAAGGCTTTTGTGAGCCCATTCAAATCCAGTGACATACGTCAAAAGCAGCAAATGCCAAATAGGCATCAATTTGGCGGTGCAATTGTCAAAGCTGCCTTGTTTATCAAGTGAGATGCTATTACAAAAATAATATAGTCTACTTTAAGATGATTCTCATTATCAACGCAAGTCAACGACATAAGACAACTATGCCATCATTTTTCACACACCAAATGAGGATATATCATATCATGATGTCGTTTGGTTGAAAAAGGAGACTACATAATTAACTTACAAATACGCCATATATCCAAAGTAAAGAAATACAGTGCATTTCATCAATCAATATATAAAGATGTCGCATATAATATAATTTCATTTGGCGATTCTTCTGCATTCCTTCGCATTCACAACTTCTCTCCAAGATTTTTCTTCTTCTTTTTCACGGTTTGTCTTAAAGGTCATTTTTCCCATGGCCGTAAATGAATCTAGCTGTTCCTTCCGTGTAAACGTGCGTCTCATCGTACAACCTTCAACGATCCAAAAGTCCAAAATATAAGGTTTAGTTGTAAACTAAAACAGTAATAAATACCCATCTGCTTTGTTTCTTATAATCTTCGTAACTACTTACGCATTTCGGACAACTTTGTTTAAGGTAGTGACAGAGGAGAAGGTGGTTCCATCTAAGTACTTGTTCTCCCCTTCCACTCTCTGCTTGATTCTCAGGTCCATCTCTTCACAACTTAGCTCCAATGGACTGTCCGAAGCCTGTGATCAATGGAGGAAATGATGAATGAAATGAAACCAGATTGAAGCTTGAAGAAGGAGGGATAATGTAAGGGTAGTATAGTAATAGTACCATGACCCATCCCCAAGTGTCAGCATAGGAAGGAATGTGAGCAGCATAAGGCACAACATCTGCCATTAGAAATGCCAAAACTCATCAATTAACATCAACAACAAGTCAACAATAATCACTCAAAAGATTAATCTTCGAGTGAAAACTAATTAATCCCATTCATTAAAACCATTTTTTAATCAAATATAGTTGCTTACTTACATTTGAACACCTGCCTCAGAGTGTTGTAGATGCATGTATACACTTCAGTGTGGCTGAAAATCCCAGCCGGTCCAGCCTGAGTGACGAAAATGCCCCCCTGAGTCAGCCTGGGCTTGACAGTGGACTCGTAGAAGGATTTGGTGTAGAGCTTGTAGCATGGGCCTCCTTCTATTGGGTCGGCCAAATCCCCAACTATCACATCAAACTTCTCTTCCTTTCTATTCTCTAGCTCAGCCCTGGCCCAATCAAAAGCCCATTCCCCCATTAACAAAGACTAATAACAACAGCAGCATGCTATTAGCCTAAAACTCGAAGGTGGTAATTGGTTTGATTAATCACCTGGCATCATTGATTATGACATTAAGCCTGGGATCATTGAATGCATCAGTGTTCACAACCAAGTACTCCTTGCAGAACTCCACCACTTCCTGCCACAGATCCATTCCAGTATTGACAGAACAATTAGCATATGCTAATTGCTTATTAATTTAGAGATTATTAGTTATGGAAGTGGTAGTGTTAATGTTAAGTACCTCGTCAATGTCGCACATTACAACCTTGTCCACGGTTCTGTGTTTGAGGATCTCTCTGGCTGTTGAGCCCTCACCTCCTCCCATGATGAACACCGTCTTCGGACTGCTTAAGAAGATGGGATTAGGACGGTAATTAAGACAAAGTGTGAGATATTAATGATGGATTTTAGTTGCTAGTTAATAATTACTTGGGATGATGAAGGAGGGGTGGATGGACAAGGCATTCATGGTAAATGAACTCATCCACCTCTGCACTCTGAAGCTTCCCATCAATAACAAGCGCCTGAGAAGGTTAAACAAAAATGATTAATCAATAGTAATAAAAAAAAAGATTAATCAATAATCCCATAGTAATTTTGTCAAGTTAAACAAAAAAGGTTAATAGTCAAACCTTGCCGAAGGGTTTTGTGTCGAACAGGGCAATCTCCTGGTACTGGGTGGATCCTGTATGTAAAATACTGCACCCCAAAATAAACAAATTAAATAACGTGTTAAAAGTAAATAAATGATTTAAACTGAAAAAAAAGAAAAAACAATAAGTTAGTTGGAGGGACAGAAGAGATAATGGTGTTTCCTCTTGGTCCTTTGTAGGTGAAACCGTCGCTGTTCCTTTTATTAAAGGGCTTTTGTGATTTGTCGGGCTTTTCTGAGAACTGATAATGATTATTATACTAATCAATTAATTAGTTCTCTTAATTAATCTCCCTTTGTTGACATTACTTTCTCACTGTTGTTATTAACTGGTATAATCAGACTCAAGGGTGTAAAAAGATGACCCGCTAATTAAAAACCCAGGACCCCAAAAAAAGAAGACCAAACTTCATGATTATTCATATGCAATTCTTAGGAATCATCATACTTTACATACCCACAAAGAAAATCACGATAACCATCGTCAATGCAACCAACATATTAGTATATTACTCTGATCAATTTTTCTTTTGCTCGTTATAAGAACATGTAATGCACGTACCTATTGAGAGCGAAGCACCATCGCAAGTTCTCCTCGATCTCTTCCTCGTACCAACAACTCTTCCTGTAGCCACTAGGCGGTGGGGATGAAGACGAGCGACTCAAGACTCCATTAATCGGCTCGCTAGCACAAGATATCTCACCCATATTGCTTTGTTTTTGCACACCAACTAAACCAAGATACAAACAATGAAGAAGAAGAGTATAGAGAGGATGGAGGGGGATATGAAGAGAGGAGTGAATGGGTGAAGATATATATACAAGAAGAAGGAAGGGGAATAAGATGGTGGCAAGCAAGCAAAGCAAGCCAGTAGAAAAGTGGCAATGATGATTTTGGGGTTTGAAGGTGGAGATCAGATCCACGAAAAGGAGATATCAGAGTGATGTGGGGTAAGGAAGAAAATCCTCATGGGGTTTTGGTAAGGTCGTCCTAGTTATGGGGGAAGACAGAAGACAGAGAAAGTGGAGAGGGATTCGAAAAGGTTAATGTGGTCGCGTGGGGCAAGGGCACTATATGTGTCCATTGGTCGCCTGCTCCATTCATCTTGTCAACATAAAACCACGCTGGATTTTCACCACCATGAGGGTATAAATGGTGCATGCATTTGCTAGTGATCGCCCCACATATTAACCCCCCACTTATGCCTTATGTGTATGGTACGAGGGCACACTTGTTATGTTAAAACGCACATTTTCTTATGTATTAAGTGCGGTAGTGGACTATCTAAAGGTGTGGGAAGTGGGAACTACCGATTACCACTGAGTTTAAGTTTTTCATCTGGTAGTTGCTTCGTCGTCGTATTTTGTCGGTTGTGGAGGTCCTGTGGACTAGGGAGGTATATCAGTACTGGCGAGGTGTTATGTTCGATGTGTTGGGAAGATATAGATTCTTTGGAGTACCTTTTCTTTTCCTCGTTCGGTACGGTAGCCATGCTGGGATATCGGGCCGCAGGAGAAAAAAGATGAGCTATCTGAGTCTAGGTTGGCAAAGTGAGAAAGATGAGTTGAGTTTCAAGATTAAGGTAAAGATCGGGCCGACCCTGACCCGCAGGCAGGGTGCGGGCTAGACCTACCACACAAAATGGTTAGGCATGGTTTGGTTTCAACCGAATCGAACCGGACTACAACAGGTAACATAACGGATGGAGGACGCTCTATGACTTGCAGATGTAGTCTACCCTCTGGTTATGACACCTCCGCCTGATAATTGCTAGACTGGGCGAACTCTGGAGATTAGGCAAGGATCAATGACTGGAATGGGAGCAGTGGCGTAGCCAGACTTTAAATTCATTGGGGTCCTTAAAAAATTAATAATGTCAACAGAAGTCTATGTATGTAATAAATTTTGAGTTGATTGGGGTCCTTAGTTACCGCAAGTATTGGCGAAAGTATGGGGTCCTATATTTGCAGAATTATACCAAAGCCTATTCATCTAATGGATTTCCCCTAATTTTTTTCCAAGTGGGGTCCTAAGACCCCTCTCCTATTGCCTTCCCTCCACCAATGACTGGGAGGACTATGAGGAGGAGGACGAGTGAGACTTTGCCATGGCAGCAACGAGATTGGAAGGTATGGTGGATATAACTCTACTTTTGAGGATGAGGACGATGGCGATGATATGCTTTTTAGGGTCAAGTCTCCAACCATTGAGTTTCCAAGTTTAACGGCCAAAAGGATGGTAGGATTGTGGTTGTATGCGGCTGACAGGTGATGCGAAATCATGCCACCCATGAAGAGAGGGACTAGGGAGACACATATGGCGTCCTTCTATTTAGAGAGAGATGCTCTACAATTGTGGGAGTGGATGAAAAGATCTTATGTAGAGGCAGGGATGCTGATCGTTTGACCCATGTTTAATTAAGAATTAAAGTTCTAGTTTTACAAATCAGAAAGGTGGGCGCCACAGTCACAAAACAAAATGCATAACCCGACAAATTCTCTTAAACTACCCAACTCTTAAATAAGAAAATACCAAATAATACCTAAAAACCCTCTAAAATTACTAGAATATTTCGATAATTGCAAACGTACAAAAAAAAAAAATTGTCCAAATATAAAAATAGATGGAAACAATTTTCCATAAAAATAATTACCACAAAATGTTCGAAATCATGCAACATACTCCTAATCATCTATTGATATGCATGCCTATCCATGGACTGTCTATGGATATATGGATTCATCAACACTACTACTATTAAGGCAAAATACACATTCATAGCCATAACTATTCGCGTTGTGACAAATATAGCCACTTTTTGAAAAATACACTCGTATAGCCATTCCGTCCAAAACTTTAACGGCAACATCATAAATGCTGACTGTACTAACGTTTTCTACTGACGTGGAAATTTTTTATTTAAACCAATCCTAGGTGGAAAATTTCATTTCTTATTAAGTTATTATTATAATTACATTAAAAAGTAAAAATAACAATTAATGAAAATGAAAAATCGATCATCTTCTTTTCCCCTTTCGCCTTTCCCCTTCTTTCCATCTACCCAGGAGACCCATCTGGATTCTGGATCATCTTTTTCGATTTCCTTCTCCCCAATCCCTTCGCATCTCAGCCTCTGCCCGTCGCTGCGATGGGTACCGACCGCCGCAGACCAGCTCGGCGGCCACAAGAATCCTTAACGACCGCCGCAGACCAGCTCTGAGATTCTCCCTGTCGGAGTCTCCATGAGCGTAATCGACGACTTTGACGAGATGGGTCTTCGAGTGTTGGTTCTTGGCTTGAGATTCTGGAAACATCGACGAGCCCCACAGACTATCCTCCGCCGTTGCGGTGGTTTTGTGAGAGCTTGAAACGACTAAGAACCCCTAACCCAGACCCTTCTTCTCTCTTCCAATCGAAACAGGGACGAACCTTTTCATCTCTGTCGCACGAGAGGAAGACGATTATGATGGCGATGGAGACGGCGACGATGACTTGATAAAGTCGAAGTTGTCGCTGGTAAAGCAATCTACATATGTGGGTTCTAGTGGCGGTGGCCGATCTGTGGATGATTACAAGATTAGTGGGAGAGAAGTAAGGGGAGCGATATTTGGGTCTCTGTCAATTTAGGGTTCTATTTTTGGTTGATTCAAAATTGGGGTTTATGAGCTTGTCTTTACTTTGATGTGTGAATGGCTAGAAGAAGATGATTTCCTCTGTGTTTCTGGCGTGAGGAAGAAGATGAAGGGGAAGATGATTTCCCCTATTTCTCCTCCAACCCAATGACTAACAGAGAAAGAAGAGAGGATGAAGTTGGCAACGACGAGATCGGCGGCTCGGGGAAGAAGAAAAGAAAGAATTCCAAACGACGGAGAGGGAGACGGGTCGATGGATCGGAGAGTGACAGGCGGAGATCGGATCTCGTTCTCTGCTCTCTCCATGGGGAAGGGGAAAGGAGAATTGGAAGAAAAAATTAAATGATTTTTCATTTTGATAAGAAAATTATTTAAAATAATAATTTAAACTGAGGTGGCTGACACATGGCATACATTTGATGACGTGTACATCCACATCATTGAAGAGTTAACGGTGTTAAAGTTTATAACGGAAATGGCTAAATTTGTCAAGCAAGTTTTCAAAAGTGGCTATACGAGTGTATTTTTCAAAAAGTGGCTATATTTGTCACAACGCGAATAGTTATGGCTATGAAAGTGTATTTTGCCTACTATTAATAATATCTTTGGACTATCTATGGATATATGGACAATATCAACAATATCAACACTATTAATAATATTATTATTTTCCTTATTATTATATGGTTGATTAGTATAATTATTAATTAGCCGTAGGTTTTGGGGTTGTGGAGTATAAATACTCCTTGTATCTCTCATATTCATATTGTCCAGAAAATAAATCTAACTAAGAGTTTCTTGGTTAAAACCTAATCCCTCTCTATTCTCGTCTAAGAATCCTATCCCTAATTCTATATCACCTAATTCTGGTCCAATTATCCTCTCGTCTCGTCTCATCCAATCTAAATCTCTGTTCTCAATTCCTGAATTTCTGACACATGACGACCATCATACGTGCATAAACTATTCCCCCGAATGTTCCACTAATGATTTAGTGTTCTTATAACATTGTGCATTGAACTAACTTAGCATGAACACACTTTTGCCTACCTCATCTCCAAGCTTACCATCCACAATCAGCTTGAGGGAGGGTGGTAGGAGCTTATATGTTAGTTAGTGAGACAGAACAGTATAGCAAATCGATTCTAGTAACTAGAAGTAAATCTCTGTATTGATAAAGTGAAAAAAGGTGAAGAAGAAGATGGGAAGAAAAGGATAAAAGAAGATGATGATGATGGGTTGAGGAGGGGATAATGGTGGTGGTGACAATTACCCAAAATTCAGGCCTCAAAAGCAATATTCTTTGCTTGAGGAATGTGTCTGCGATTCTAGTAGAAACTTGGATGGAAAGTGAGATATCTTTTGTAGAGACAAGGGAAAGGCGTGCAGTGGAGACCATCATCAAGTGTGATATTTGGGTTTTTGGGGCTTACAAGAGATCATGGAGAAGAAGAGGGGCGTGCCAAATTTCCACTCCACACGCACTCATCATCGCCACCTTCCACTCTCTCTGCCCATCAATTCCCCACCACCACCAATATATTTTTCACTAAAATCGAGCCAAGCAAGCTAATGTTACTCGCACAAGTCATTTAGCTTTTTGTTGATAGTAAGGTTGTCAACCCGCGGGTTGACCCACGGGTCGACCCAATTTGATCCTGACCCGGTGAGAAAAACGGGCCGCATGCACTTGTCGGGCCGACCGTTATTAGGTACCGGGTTAGAGGTCAAATTGTGTCATTTTTTCTTTAGTTTGCGAAATGCGCCTATTTTCCAATTTTTCTTTTCGCCTAACTCAATCTTTGGAATACTAAGTTGAACATTTGAATATTTATGTTATATAAGTGTGTGTGAATTTTCACTATCTGTTGGATCTAAGTACGATATGTTATTTTGGTGTAATATTATATGTTATAACTCATATGTTAGATAAGATTTGATATAATTTATGAGGATAAGTGCAATATAATGACTCTTTCTATACTAGTTTGGACCCGGCCAGTTGGCCGGAATACATTTAGGATTTTTAAGATAAGAATACTTTTATCAGACTTGTTTTGATAAATTATTTTAAATTTAGATTTTCGTCAAAACTTCACAATGTAATAATAGTATTCACAAACATAATGAAATTTTTTTAATTTCCATCATGATGTATGAGGTTATTCTCAACCGTGATGTTCAACATGTTGTTACACTTCCTC